AAAGTTGGGATATTTTTTTATATATGGCAAAAGTTGGGGCATTTTTTTTATTCTCTCTTTGTTTTAATATCTACAATATCGTAGATACGATAACAATGTTGTACCCCTCGACCTATGAAAAACGAATGGCTTCAAATTGGCGTGTAGGCTAATACTTTCCGTCTGTGCACTCGATTTAATACCCTGACTTCCAGCAGAGCTGAAACTGCTAATGGAACTCAAGAGATTAGAGGTCTTTTGATCAAAGACTATTTTTTATAGATGGAATGTTACGTTGCAAAATTACAGTCGGATAGAGTATGGACTACGGAGAGCTGGAACGAATCGATACGCTTCGCATCACACAGGCAGTTTCGCCATTTCACGTATATAGTCACAATGGCAGCTATGAAACTGCAGGGAGTTTCATTTCCATGTGGAAACTGCTTGGGAAGTAGCAAAAATCATTGTACACAGACCAATGACAACCAAAATACCATTCAAAATATGTCCACTTCCGACAAGTCTGGTAAGAAAGACAATTAGTCTTTAAATGTTTTGTGTGCCCTGTAGAAAAGACACTGGAGCTCACCTTGAGTGAAAAATGCACGGATAAATGAAAGCAAGTGGCACAGAACAGAAGCCGCCAATGATAGACACAAAATTATCGAGCTGCTTGGACAAATAATAAGCAACACACAATTCTTTGAATTCGTGTTAGAAAAAATGAGAACAGGCTAATACTTACTTCCTCTTTGCCGAAGTACCCAATAAAGGCTGTGAGGCAGACGAGCACAAAGCGAAGGCCATTCTTTTCCCATCGCCAAAATCCTTTGACGTGCTGATTAGGAAATAATTTGCATTCCAGAACGTTTACAGCGGGATACAACATCAACGGGTACGACAATACCAGTGCCAGAGAGTACGTAACCTGTACAACGATCGTGCCTGTGCTTACACTTGAACTGGGCAAATTTAAAGTCACTACCGATTGTGTGTTCCTTCCAAAAGCTGCGTATACTGTGCTAGCGAACAGAATGCAAATGACTAAGATTGACACTACACACCATGACAAAATGACAGGAAATTTATGTTTGATCTGATCATCCATGGAATCGTATATCGGCAGTACCAAACCGATGCCTTCAAAGCAGTAGACGGCAACACCAAGAAACATAGCCCAGTTTTCGGAATTAAAATACTGCCATGTCAAGTCACCATGTTCTGCGTTTTCGAGTGTGTTCACAGTGTAAGTGAGGATATAGAGGAGACCAAACACAATTAAAGCATCCGCAAGTAAGCTTGTAAGTGCAAAATACTCCAATCGACGCACCCATGCCAGAGGTGTGTAGAGTGGAATTTGAAGCAGGATAAGCGTCCATGACGACGTCGAGAGTGAGCTTTGGAGCTTAAACGCGTGCAGCAATACTTCACCAATATTTTTTTCGACAAAAATAAGATAGGAGCAGCAAAATCCGATTTGCGAAAAGACTAAAGAAAAGTTAACTGCATTTCGGCCCAGCACACCAAACGCTTGTTCCCCAACGATACCATATGTGACGTTAGGCTGCTTGCCATTGCGAAAGAGATAATTTGAGCACTCAACCAGGCGCAGCATGCAAAAAGTTGAAAGTGCTGCGGAAATGCAAAGTCCTACGATGGAAAACAGCATCCCTCCATTCTGAAATCCTTTTGGTAAGAACAAAATACCGCTGCCGATGAAAGACTTGAAGATCGTAAAAACTGTTTTTGTAACAGACGCTCCTCTCGAAGAAGCCACGCGCTGAGATATGTCAAAGCTGCTTGATAATGGTGTCAACTCTTCCTACTTTCGTCAAATTTTACACGGTGTCACCTTTAACAACTTCAAGTTTTTATGTAATACGCACATTGTACTCGTCACCAAGATGTAAAGTTTCATTGACAAAGCCGCGGTATGCTGATTGCAGCATGCTGTTTGGGCCGATCGACGTCAAAAGCGATTTGTGCACTTGGTGTGGAATAGTTGTGCTCTTATAAAGTGTATTTGTAATGACATGATTACGGCGGAAACCACCAGGCTGAACAAGGTCTGAAGCTTTTCCTGAATTTCAAATGATGCACAACGGATGACTGCCATCAAAAATTCAATTGCGTTTGATAAAAAACATCTCATCTGCAGCAGCACGAACCGACATCTCTGTGAAGCACCTCACTTGTGTCCGGCAACGACTTCGTACGTATCATACCATCATAAGAGTTTTTCGATACGGCAATATGGATATCACGCGTCATGTCCGACCCTTCTTTAGCAATGTCATGCGCAAGTGTTGGAATTTGTCCGTAGTCTTTGCAAGAATCTCTGGAACGAGGTGAGAACATATTTTCCAGCAAGGCGAATATCGGACAATTAAGCGTGCTGTTACTGCTTACACCAAATCAGTAGGTTCATCTTCGCAGGCCGTTACCCCAGATAGGATATTAAACAATTTGTTTATAAATATCTAGATTACAAAATTCAAGGATCACGGAGATAACTGGCATCACAATATTTTGATTAATGTCTACGAGAACTTGAATGTCTACAATAATATTCCAAACAGCCAAAAAGTGATACACAGCACGCATCGTAAGAGCTCACATTTGGCCTATTTCTCCTCTTTACACTCGTCGCGACCGTCTGTCAATTGTCGTCAGCTCGTACTGGTTTCTTGAGATCCTTGGCGTGATGGCGTTGCAAGAGTATGGGTGTTTCTTTTACAGCCTTAAGTTATTTGCAAATTGCAAGCTATCCGAAACATCTGCTGGAGAATATTAGTAATCGACATAGCAGATACGTTTCATTGTAGTAAATTTGTGCTAATGATGAGTTCATTTAAAGTATAAGTTTACAGCATGCTGCTCAATTGTCGAACTAGCAACGATCGGTATGACTGCGGACGCGCTGCTAGTTGTTGAAGCCTATAATAAGATCGACTGGCATCGCTTACATGAATCGTTATTCCGGGAACAGAATCTATTCGTACAGGTGCGCATAGTATTAATGGGAAAAAGCCAAACAGAAGCTCTAATAAGATTAGCCGATTTTGCCTATAAGATCAAGTGGTTTCCAGGGAGCTCAATTTTTCAGAACAACCGTAATTGCTCTTTCATATAGTATGTCTTCAGTCGAATAAAAAAATTAGCATCACAGCATTTTTAAATGCAACCTCGTGGCTAGTAAGCGAGCGATTAACTTTTAGCTGCTTAAACAGCATGTGGCGAATCAAAGCTTAAAGTGCAGCCATTACACGTGATCGTGAAAAACGTTGGCCGAAACGCGAGATAGAAAAGCGAGTAGATTCATGGTCTGCGTTTGTAACTCACACCTCTTACATGCAGCATCGAAGCCGCAGCTATGGTTTGACCGAGTCAAACATAACAGGGGTAACCTTGAAATACTTGCGGATGTTGTTGGCGACTGAATCACTTGTGGAGATAAAGTATGACGTCCCAATGAAAAATTAATTTTCTGTCAGATAAATATAGTTTTGCAGCAGTGATACAGGGCCGTGTTTGCTTCGATATCTGCTTTGCCAATCTGGAAGGAATACATGGATATTAATTACAGTGATATTTATCACGAATAAACAATATTCTGTATGAGAAAGAAGTTTGTGGCAAAACTTACATATTTTATAATGAGCAACAGTAACATGTCGACGCAAGGCGCAGGCTGAGCGACATCAGAACGTATATGGAGAGGATTTTATAATCTGGTATACTTACCTACATGTTCAGTGCCTACAATTTTAACGACAAAGTTGCGATTATGCTGCATCGTACATTGCACCATCATGGCAAAAATGAATTTATCGATGCTCAATACACCATAAAGTAAAAATGATCCTACATAAAACATTGTTTCGCTCTACAAAGAAATTGGCTTAATAACGCTTTGTTGGAAAGAGTAGCTAATACACCGTTCCTTTAGTTTTTCTCTGCTCTAGAGTTGAGATATGATTCAGAATTGATGACGTGCACATATTGAATCGGCTCATTTCAGCTTTGGCTGCTCTCCAAAACTTTCGAAGATGGTCGACCTGCAACTATAATAAAAAAAAGCTCACAAGAACCAGCTGCGGAAAAGGAGTCTTTCACAAACACTGCTCGATTTGCACGATTAGGATCACATCATGTCATGCGAGTAAGTATCCGGCAGATTAACCAGGGCTGTTACCTGTATTTGGTGAAGTGGCAAATATACTTCGCTTGGACTCATGAGAGCTTGAGATACTAATTCGTTACAACTCCCTGGCGCCGTCGAAGCTGACGCCCTGGCGCACCGTTGATCTGCATCACTAATGAGTACAAGCAGATTGACCCAGCGCAATGCGCTTCCCATTAGCGTGTAGAAGCAGTTCTTCCTCTATGTACCGACTTGGTCGGTAGTCTAAGCAGCTGTCTCACGGAGATACGTTAGGCTATATACAGAAATAAGCTTATATGATGGATTATCACTTCGGTGTTCATGTCATGCTTATTGGTTGCAAAGACGATCCTCAAACAACGCTCCAGTCGGACATCTGCTTGACAGAAGCTGGTCCGGAAAGCTGAAGTGATGTTCTTCCGCACCTGCGCGTCAAATGAGTGCGCTTGTCCTTGGCATTTTTTCAGCTGTTAGCTTGAAAGACGAAGTAGTACGGGGCTACCCAACCGCTGTGGCTTTGATCGTAGGCAGTGCTTCCGAAATGTGGAGATCTGTGGGGTCAGAAAGCGTTCAAAAGAAATAGTCTTGGGCGCTCGTTTTGCTATCAATTTTAGAAGAAGGATCGTACGCTTAGGTGTGTAAGGGGCTCCCCATGGAGCAAGATGAAATGAATTTGAACTCGTGCTGTGATCGATTTCGCAACAATGTTGCAACTCTTGCTTTTTTAGTTGGTTATGTCCATCGCATAAGTGACAGGATGACATTGTTCTGAGCTCTGCGGTGAGAGGTCAAAGCATTTTCAGCCGTACAGAGCGGGCACGAACTGCATAATTCTTGAAGAGGAGAGGCATAGAGTAAACGCTCCCTGCTCAGTGAACAACTCTGCCGCGTGACTCTTGTTGACAGTGGGGGTGTCGGGTCACGACATAAAGATTGCTTTGACCGTTAAGAAGCTTAGCTTCATCACTAAAATGGTCTTTAAGGTTGTTGGATGCAAGAACCGTGCCGTTCTCAGCGGAACGTTGAACGATATGATTACAAAATTGAGTGACGCCGGTTTGCGCATAAGAGCAAGCACTGTATGGTGAAGTGGAGAGATGCATACGAAGTCACCCGCGATACATTGAATAACGAATGATCTTGAGTCGAATCTCAACTTGATCAAGGATCACGACTCCTTATCGTGAAACCTTTTGAAGGTAATACTGACTGGCTGTATAAAAACTTCATAGGATCACTTAGACAACGTTCACACCTGATACTCTAGAAGAGGCAGACACAAGTTTCAAAATACAGGACGAAGGGTACCGCTTATCACACCTAACTAATCGATGCATTCAGAACCAATGTACAGGAAGCATCGAGTGCGCATCGGAGCAGCCGAATCCTTCTGAATAGCTTCTCTGTATTCTACAACGATTGACGGTATCATCATCACAAGGAAACGCAATTGCAAAAACCACCACTATAACGCCTCAGCCATTGCGAAACGCTGGCCCGTCATGCCGTGGACTAGTCATTGCTTCACAGGAACAAATTCGTACCTGTCGCCAATTCCGATACTAAATTGGTTTGCGATGCAATTTGATCTATATCATAAGCGATTTTGAATTTGTCGATTGCACTGCCTTCATCGCAGCAACTAACTCGGAATACCACAAGTCAATCACAAGTCAATAAGCTTAAGGAACGTAAACCCCGAAACATATGCGAAAGGAAGTATATACTGTGGCTTTGCTTGATAATTAAGAACTTCTGTCAATGTGGCTGGGCAATGAGCATGGACAAAAGTATCTAGAGGTGTTTAAACAGTTTGGTGAGAAACCTTCAAAAAGTACCAACCGGGCGTATGTGGAAGTACTATTGACTTTTTCACAACCCAACAGAGTGAAACCACTTATACTATAAGTGCTATGGGGTCAGTCCCATACACATGTTGTGTAAACCACATACTTATGTGTGTGGTTAACATTAACTATATATTCTGCATAGTTATATATCCCCTGATTTTGTTGTATCAGAATTTGGAGGCACTTGTCATTTTAAGGCCGATTGGCCATAAATAAGTCACTTCAACTTTTTTTTTCGTTCACGTAAACCAACGGCTCGCTGGGAGTGGGCAACACACGATGAAGCGTGTTAACTGATGAAGTCTCCCTCAGTACGTCCGTGTCTACGGACGGGAAATCCCCGTTACAATAAGTCAAGACCTTTAAGACCAATGTTGAGAAAATGTCACTTTGGATACAACTTGTAAGGATGACGATAGATTAGGCTCTGCCCCAGACGAGACAACAGTGCGACGAACCAGCGGTCTCCAAGCTAAGAAGTCGCGCGCGGGAGTAAGCAATCACGTGCGGTACCTCTGTCAACAAGACTTTCTCGTCATGAGAACAACTCAAACGATAAATTTCGCAAGTATTCACATCGCCCTGATAGTTGCACGTTCGGTCCAAATTCTTGTCCATCGGTCAAGATGGCAAATAAACAGAAACTCTGTCAGTTGGGATGGCGGCAAAATCTTTCGAAATTTATGGAGGGTCTCTGTACAGATTGCGGACAGCACTTATACCTTTCTCCACTTAACTTCATTTGAGAAAGCGGTATATGTCGCAATGAATTAGGAGCATACCTTCCATCTTGAGAATGCACTAAAGGTGCAAGACGTACAGTATCCACGAATTCTACAGAGGCATCGGTCATCAGCCAAGCTGAGGAAAGAGATAATTTTAAGTTGTCGAGCACTGATAGCGGCAGCTTCAGTGGCAGTATCAATCGTGTTCGCACTGCGAGTTCTCTGTTTGAAGCTTCCACGCAGGGTTTATCGAAGGACCACTTGCCGCAAAAAATTGGGTTCTAGTATATCGCCATGTGTAACGGAACTACACTTCCCTGGTAACAGGGGTGTGTGTGTCACACCAGATGGGCATGGTGTGACCACACCCAAATAAGAATACAGTACGGGGCTGGAAAGCCAGTAGTTATACATGTATTTTGATTTTACTATACATATTTATGAAAATCTAAATATTTAAGATTAGGCGACTTTGCCGCAGATAAAAATAAATAAAGTCAGTTTTGGACATAAACGGAAGAGTTAATTAGCCTTGTGCTAAGGCAATAATTACTCCTGGAGTTAGCGGGTTGCGATCCGCTAAACTCGTACTTGTTCCAAGAATAGAACGAGAGGTCGGTGACCTAACTTATGCTTCCTCAAAGCACAAAGCTACGGCAGCCCCGCTGCAATGGTAGCATTTGTAGTCAATCTACATTTGAGTCGTTTAGACTGATCCTCTGTGAGGATGGAACAATTTTCCTATTTGCCCCAGGGCATGCAGGACGGGCTTAAAAAGCTGATGTCCTTGCTTGGCTCTGAGGGCGTACAAGACCTTGCTGCGCAAGGTCCCGAGGCAATCGGTGCGCATCAAGAGGCTTTTTTAAATTACAAAAGTGCGCTGCTAGAGCACCTGCAGCAGAAGATGTCTGTATCATTTGCATCTGTGATACCACCGTCAGTGACGGATGTTTTCCCCTCTCTAAGCCGCTCATGGTGAGCTTTACGGTCTTCAAGGGGAAGGATGGAAAGAATCTTCTGCTCCGGGTGAGAGAGGTCGAGATGGTCATCGCATCCACCATGCTCCAGACCGAACAACAGCGCGTGGCGCTAGCCATCTAAAAGCTCTGTGGTTGAGT